TTCACCGACTCCTCCGAACCCGTGAATAGCAACAAAAAAAAAATTTATCCCATCCGACTTTAAATCCGTAGTCCACCAAACAGTGGATATGATATGAAGAAATCCCAGGATTTCTTATCATATCCTATCCAGTCCTATCCTGTTTAGAAATCCGGACGACCAAACGCAGCCTAAGTGTTTGAGTATGCCGGGCCAAAGGATCTTCTATAAGAGGACTTGATGGTGATCTCCGTGTGACTCTTTTATATTGGGCATCCACGTTCCCGCTACGTGAGAAAGTATCTCATTAACTTAAACAATCGACTTATTATATATTTTCTCACATATTTCATAAATAAATACCATATATTGGATATTACCAATAGCAATTAATCATCATTTATAGCATTTTGCATTTTTTATGATTAATGTTGTTAAACAGGTCGACTACCGCCCACAGCGGCTGCGTTAGCTTGCGCTCTAGTCCCCCCACGAAGGAATCAGAGTTCGAACCCCAGCGTAGTCGTTAGGGATTCTTAAGTGTGGCGCGTGATGGTGGGTCTTGCGCTAGCGTCACTCCAGGTTTACCCCTCCGGCTGTCGGCCGTGCGGGGGTTCCTGGGTTATCAAAAAAAAAAAAAAAAACAGGCTCATCTCCTCGCTTCCGTCCGGTGGCTGCTTAAACTGAGAGGTGTACAGAGAGAGAGCGAAGACGAGCTTCGATGGAGTCAACCATATCCAAAACTCTCGCTTCCGCCTTCATCGCTCCGTCAGACTCTGCTGCATTTATGCTGACCGCATCCGCAGCCCAAGCTTCACTTCGGCCCCGTCTCTGTCTCCTCCGACGTCTGCGAGGTATCGTTTGCAGTGCATTTCGAGCTCCGCTGCTCCTTTTGGTGCCTTCGGTGGACGTGGAGGCGGCGGCGGAGTTGACGGTGAGGATGGGAAGGCGAAATCGGTCATGGATGGAGCCGAGGAAGCCTTAGCTGTATCCTCTGACGTCATAATTCTCACGTCAGCGTAAGCCTCTCTCTATATATCTCTCGCACTTTATGTGAATGTTCAAGCTACACAGCTTCGATTTTGTCTATGCACGTTCAACTTTCCTTGCGTTATATTGCTGAAGATTTTATTCCGTGGTGCATGTCATGTTTTGTTTGTGCGGTCACTTGAATGTCTCTGTTTCATCTCTGCAGGGAATGACTTGTGGGAAATGTGCAGCGAGTGTGAAGAGAATTTTGGAAAATCAAGTGAGTTTACCATTGCACTTGTGTTGCTATTATACTCTGAGGTACCCAGGATCGTTCATTTTTCATATGAAAAGTATCGTTATCATGAGTGACGCAATTTGTCCTCTCATAAATGTAAAGAGAAATTATCTCTTATGTGGTGGAAAGAAGTGCAGGAGAAATGGCTTTCATCATTTTTTGTGGTAAGATTTGAACCCTGTGTGTCTTCTCTTCTGCTCGAACTTTGGACAGCCATAAGTATCTGCCGCCAGCGTCAATCCTACAACCAAGACAGCAATTGTATGGCCTGTATCTGAAGCGAAGGCTGTAACCTAATTGGCAAGAAGAGTTGGGAGAAACACTTTCAAAACACTCAAATTGTGGCTCAAGTCTAACCCTCAAGGTAAGCAGTTTTATTCACCATCTTCTTGTTGCAATAGAAAGAGGTTTCGCTGACATTGTTGAACAAATCATTGGCGCATATAACTTACCTTTTATCACATATTTTCTGTGTCGATGACTCCATGTACCAGTTGGAAGTACGAGCTTTTATATCTCTTTGGCTTATCACTGCTGTATATCACGAGTTGGGGTTTACTCACTGAAGGTGCGGTTCCTTGTCATCAGACACGCCAAAAAAAGTGAAAGGTAAAGTCAGAAGGAAAGCTGTTGTGGACTACTGTAAATGTTTTGCTTTTGAAATATGAACTGGTGACTTTAGGAGCTTTTCTTTATTATGGAGAATTTCGGTCACAATTAAACCAACACTAGAGGTGTCGCTAGTACAGAGATGTTGCTGGCCAAATTATGCCAGCCTTTGAGTTGCTACATTAGTCCAACATGATGCTCGCAATAACTATACCTTTTCCATGTCATCTTGACTCGAGTTCCAATTCATTGATCAGCCTCGGCTATATGAATCTCTGTTGCTCATTGAGATAAGTCCAGCAATTCTTACTTCCACTTAGCTCAACATGGCTGTGGAATCTCTGTTGCTCATTGAGATTTTGGGATTTAACAAGCCACAGAGTGCCATCATCATGTGATACAGCAAATCTTGTACTTATTTTAGTGTTGATATTTGGCGGTTATAATGTGTTAGAATATTTACTTATTAAAGCATGCCTTCATCTAATAGCTTAAGCTTATGAATAATTGGCAGTGGTCCCAACAAATCTCACATAGTATCTGAGCTGGAGGTCCTAAGTTCAAATCTTTCTGGGCTCCAATTGCCTCCCAAATTAAATGTCCACGCTTAGTACTAGGCAAAAGTGTGAGGGGGAGTGTTAGAATATTTACATATTAAACCACGAATTCATCTAACAGCTTAAATTTTTAAAACAGTTGACAGTAATCCTATCAAATCTCACACGATGCATGATGGGAGAGGAGGACCAAATAAAAGTTTATAATTCTGGCTAAAGCTAGGGAAAGGGGGCAATTTGTGAATGATACAATATGTTCATTGTGCTACCTTTTTTTGTGGAAAAAACATATTCGTTTTGATGGATACTGAATTGAGGTCTCTGACTTAACTGAACAATTTTATTCAATAGATAGTTTTGGACTCTAAGAATCCCCGTCACTTATTCTTGCTGAACACTTAGGGTCCGTTTGTTTCGTGAAAGATATTTTCTGGGAAAACACTTCCCTCATTTTCCGGCATTTGGTTTGCTTAGGAGAATGAGTCAACGGAAAATGTTTTCCTAGTCAACGGAAAATGTTTCCTATCAAAGCTTATATTCAGGAAAATGATTTCCTTTTTAAAAGAATCGGAAAACGTTTTCCGAAACTAGTTATTGATGTTTGGACCCGAAACTCTACACTTAGGCATGAAAATAAAGGAAAACTACATGTATTGCTGGAAAATGATTTTCCGAAAAACATTTTCCTTTATCATTGAGTTTTCCACGAAACAAACGCACCCTTAGGCTCCGTTCGTTTGGCGGAAAATATTCTCACGGAAAATATTTTCTGAGTTTTCCGATGTTCGGGGGGCGGAAAACGTTTTCCATGGGAAAATATTTTCCTTCCCCCCCTCACAAAATAGCCTAAGTCTACGGAAAATGACTTCCGCTTCTTCAAAAGCGGAAATCATTTTCCGGAGCTTCTTCTTCTTCTTCTTCACTAAGGTCGCCGGCCGCTGCAGCCGGCCGCCGCCGCCGCCGCCGCCGCCACCGTCGGTCGCCGCCGCCGGCCGCCGCGCCGTCCGGTCGCCGGACGTTAGCCATCGGTCGGCGCCGCCGCCGCCCGCCGCCGGACGTCCGACGTTGGCCGTCGGTCGCCGCCGCCGCCGCCGCCGCCGGACGTCGGACGTTGGCCGTCGGTCGCCGGCCGCCGCCCGCCGCCGCCGACGGCGTCGGACGTTGGCCGTCGGTCGCCGCCGCCGCCGCCGCCGCGCCGCCGGACGTCGGACGTTGCCGTCGGTCGCCGGCCGCCCGCTACGCCCGCCGCCGCCGGTGGATGCCGGACGTTGGCCGTCTGCCGCGCGATCGGTCGCCGGCCGCCACGCGCGCCGCCACCGCCCGCCGCTAGTCGCCGGCGAAAAATATTTTTCGAAACTTTTTCATATTGGTCGCCGAACACCGGAAAATTATGTTCCGGGAAAACATTTTCCAGGAAAATGACTTCCGGAAAAATATTTTCCAAAAAAAGAATATTTTCCGCCAAACGAACGGAGACTTAAATGCATTTGATACTCCCTGTTCATTGGCTGAACTCTTATTTACAAAATTGGTTTTGTTTAATCTATTAAAAAATTGTAGACTGTTTTTATAGAACAGTCGACAGAACAAATCTAGTGATGGAAAATGTGTGGGAAGTTGTATTTTCCATTGTGATCTAGTGTGGCTCCCCAGAATTTTGTAATTTGATCAGTAAGGTCTAGTTCAGTGAGAATGGGCAATAACTGCTCTAGCATTATGGTCAGTTTGTATGCTTAGGATCAATTAACTCTAGATACCTAAGCTTCTCATTCTTTGGAACATGAGATGCTTCTTTGCTGCAATTTGATGAAATTTTATTTGGTATCATTACTATCCTTGATATGATAATGTGGTGATGAAGTAAGCGTATTAATATCATATAAGCATAATTGCAAAAACCATCCTCAATTTTGTTCTTCATATCAAATACCCTCCTCAAATTTTGTTCTTCATATCAATTACCCTCCTCACATTTCAAAATCTCCATGGTGCATCATCTAAACCTAAATGACCTATTTGCCCTTATGCATGCCTGAGATCTACACCCAGAAAGTGAAACCCAACGCTGAGGATGGGGTAATTTGAGAAATATGTGTGGGTGGGAGATGCAACTTGAAATCGACTAAAGAAAAGTGAGAATGATAATTGTAGGTTTTGAAATGTGAGAATGGGGTGTTTGATATGAGGAGCAAAGTTGAGGATGATATTTGTAATTCTCCTATCATATTATACAAACTAACTCCGTGAAGAATATTTTTAATGTAGGTGGTGGTTGACAAGTTCTTTGGACGCTCTCGTGGATTTGGTTTTGTAACTTTTGATGAGAAGCAAGCACTGGATGAGGCTATTGAGGCTATGAATGGGATGGAATTGGATGGGAAAAATATCATTGTGGAAAATCTTAGCCTCAAGGTTCAGGTAGAGACCAAGGTGGTGATCGTGGTCATGATCGTGGTCGCAAAGGTGGCCTTAATCGGGACTATGGTGGTGGAGGTGGAGGTGGAGAGTGCTTTAACTGTGGCAAGCCTGGGCATTTTGCCTGTGAGTGTCCTAGTGAAGGGGGCAGAGAAGGTAGGTATGGAGGAGGGATGACAGGTATGGAGGTGGAGGAGGTGGTGGTGGTGGGCGCTATGGTCCATATTGAAATGGTGATCGATCTGGCGGGGGCAATAGGGATAGTGGTACTCGAGGAGGTTCAGGTAATGACTTCTATAATCGGGACCCTTCTGGTCTCTATGAACGTCGTAGTAAAGGAAACTTCCGTTTGGTGTAGAAAGAATACTCCTGATAGGTACGCACACCATCGTTTCCAGTTATAGTGAAGCAGTTGATTCTGTGCTGATTGAAAAATATTTGTGCTTGTAGCAGAGCAATTGGAGGTGCGGCTGTTACTTGCCGGAGGTGTCAAAGTCTCTTCTGCTGGATCTCTCCTTCATGGTTCTCTGGGTGGACGAATCTGCTTGTTCGGTCATTTGATGTGCGAACTTTAACTAAAAGATTCAACTGTTTAATGTCCGTGAATTCACGTTTTGATGTTTTCTTCAGATGACATTGCTTGCTTGACTTCAACAATCAAATTTGGCCTTATTCTATCAATGCTATGATGGGTACTGGATTCTCTTTCGCTTAAGATGCTTTAGCAATTGCAAATCCATCTGAGATCGATCTTGGTTAACTTCTTCATTGGCATTTGCCACTGTAGAGTGCGGACAGCTTTTTGGTGTCTTGATGGCTCTCTTGAGGATAGAGCGAGAGATTCACCCGTGGAAGTAATGCCTTTTCTCTTTGCAAAAGAGAAGCCGCCCTAGAAATGAATGGCCGTTTTGGCTGCGATTTTTCAGATGTCCGACTTTTCGAAAAGGAGTTAACCGGGTAAACCCTGTGTTTTCTTACACATTTTAGTATAATGTCCTCTATGATAACATGCACAATCGATACTTTAAAGATCAAACGCTTCATCACAAACCTTGTTTAACAAATGTTCAACACTTATTGACTAGATTCTTATACACAGGCCGGCCGGCGAGGCTTTGGCGAGGTCGAGCTCCTCCTCAGCCGCCCTGGTCCGGCAACGACCCCCCGTCCTCAAGTACCACAACGGAGCTCTTCTGAAGGGCAACATCACCGTTGACCTCGTCCGGTACGGGCGCTTTAGCCCCACCCAGCACTCCGTCATCGTCGACTTCATCCGCTCCCTCGGCTCCGCCGGGCACCCGCTCCCCTTCGCCCTCCGCCTCCTCCTGGTGGCGCACCACCGAGAAGTACCAAGTGTGGCAGCTCCAACCTCGTCGTCGGAAGGTAGGCCCTCCATTAGGCGTACACCCTCTGGAAGTCCCTCCCGGACCGCCACCTGCGCACCCTCGCCGAAAAGTTCATCGCCGCCCCCGGCACCATCACTGTCATCCTCACAGCGCTGGACGTCACCGTGGAGGGGTCCTGCATGCGGTGTCAGTCGTCCTGGCCCAGGTCCGCCTTCGTGTGGGTCGGGAACTCGGAGATGCAGTGCCCGGGGCAGTGCGGTGGCCGTTCCACCACAGCCCAAGTACGGCCCACAGTCGCCGCCGCTGCCGGCGATGTGGGACCTGGAGACGTACGAGTGCAAGACCCTCGTGTGATCGCGCCACGTGGACGACGGAGATCATCATCATCCATGTACTGCGGTCTATTGATATTGTGGGGGTGGTTCGCTGCACTATTATATTAAACCGCTGTCTAGACTCGGTTCTCGGTTTGACCGAGTGACCCGAGTCGAACCGGGATCGGTTCAATTCGGACCGGCTTTAGGCCGAGGATTAGCGACGGTCAGTGTTGTGTGTCGCGAGGTTCGAGGGATGTGTGACAAAGATGAGCTCTCTTTGGTTTTTTTTTTCTTTGAAACCTGTTGGGGAATTGTTAATTAGGATTTAAAAAAGGGAAAAAGAGTATATACACAAATCTCAAAAACGGATAAGTGAGAGAAAATTGCATGTATTTAAAGAGTATATAAACTCCATATATAAGCGATCCACTCTTTACATCTTTTTTTCTTTCTTAAACCAAAATCTAGGCACGATCACCTTAATAAGAGAAGAAGTTTGACACCATCGTTGGAGAAAAGAGAGAAAATCCCGCAATCAAGCCAATTGAGTATTACCTTATTTAATTCAATTTATCTCTAGCCAAAATTGGAAGGCAATCAACAGCTAGCTCTTCATGACCATGAAACAATCGCGAAAACTCGAATTAGAGATCTTATTAATTCACAATATTGACTTAGCCAGTCAACCACGAGATATGAGCAAATTTTCATCCTCTACAAGATATTTTTTCCCTATTAAGTCCAATTTATCTCTCTCTAACTTGTTCAGTTGCGAGTCCTATTCATCACATGCATTGAAAATAAGCAAATCCATGTCATGAGATGGTCCTCAAATGTACTCTGCGTGGTTCCTATTATAGAAGAATTAAATAATATTGCACCATCATCGGAGAACAACAAATACTATCATAAAATAGGGGCTCCACTCTATTATCCCTATGACACATTTTTGATAAATAAAAACAGGTTCCAAAGTATTGGCCATGATTGAATTTATGACATCATCTATCTTATAAGTTCCATATCTATTATCTTTTTTATTTTGTAAGCATTTCTACTTATTTTTGTTGTCTCCTTATTTCGGGGATAAAAACTACATGAGCGTCTTAACTTTCGTACGGCGTTCACTTGAGTGTCATAACTTTTTTTTCGCTCACTTGAATGCCACATCTGAGTAAAATCAATCAATTGAGTGTCATTTTTGACAAATCGTCCTACGTGGATTTTTTGTAATTTTTTAAAGAATTGATTTTTTTTACTTTCCTTTTCTTCTTTGATTTTTTTTCTGTGCCGACGAGGGTCATAGGCCTTTGTGGCCGGCAAGGGTCGCAGGTGACCCTCGCTGGCACAAAAACAAAATCAAAGAAAAATAAAAATAAAAATAATAAAAATTCAAAAAAAAAATAAAAATCGAAAATTAAAAAAAAAGTTATAAAAATTGTTCACGTCAGTGCTGGCAATGTAACGTAAGATAATCGGCATCCACGTTGGATTTTCCTGCGAGGCAAACTGCTGATGGCACTTAAGTGATTGATGTTTCAAATTTATGGCACTTAATGAGCGAACTCAAGTGAGCACCGTACGAAAGTTATAGTACTCTTACTGTTCTTATCCCCTTATTTTCTTGATCCTAACCATAATTGGTAAAGATAGTGGTAATTGATTTAGGACGCGTTGTTTTTAAATCAAGAACTTGGAACCTATTTTGTTAAAATTGCTTCCAAGTTGTCTGCTTTTGCTGGAATACCCAACTTTTTGATTTTTTTTCGTAAAAGTTCTTGATCAAGAAACTTGTAGAATTTTGTTTTGAAACATTTCAAATTCAGTTCAACCTAAGAACTAGCCTTGAAACTAGTGCAAAATCGGTTCTATCTGGAAACTGGCCTTTTAACACGATCAAGGCCGATCTCCAAATTTTTTTTACCGAGAATAAAATTGGTCATCGTGTAAGCGGGCCTAACAGAGCCAATTTAGTCGTTTGATTGTCAAATTGAACCAGTCCAGTTGCCCATCCCTTGTTGGTTGTTAGTTTGTAAAACAAATAAAATAATGCTTTTCCTTGTCCCACATTCGAAAGTTTTGTTTGTGTGGGCCACTATATTAGTGCGGATGTCTTCTAACTTGTTCAATTGAAGACGATGGGCTGTGGCTAGATCACACAATACATGTGTGCAGGCGCATGAATGATTGGGCATTTTTGGCACACTTAGCACTTTGCGTGCTTGCAGATGATAATGAGCACTAATCCTTGTTTATTATTTATTATTTATTAAATCCTAAATTTATTATCATAAAATAACAGTTTTATCCTTTTGAAATAATGTGACTGTTCGCAATAGAGTTGCGGTTATTTTTTTTAATTAATTTCGAAATTTATTATTTTGCTAACGTTTATTAGGCGTTTTTACAACCTTTGGAAGAATTGTATCCCTTCGGACATAACTACTTCACCTTTGGAAAATTATGTCTTTCCGGACATAACTCCTACATCTTTGAAAGGTTATACTTGTTCAAAGATTAATTTTACAGAATTTATAAATTTCGGAATAATAAAAAATAATAAAAATAATTATTATATTTTATTATTATTTTAATCCAAATTTTTACTATGTCTTTTGGGAAGGCATCTTTTGACAATGCAACTTCTTCCAAAAGATTGCATTCGGTTCAAAAAGACTGCAGTATATATTTATATTTTTTCAGTCTGTTTTAACTTACTTTTTATACTATTTTCTTAAAACAATACAGCCATCTTTTCCAACTGTTTTACTTGAGAGACCCTGGAGAATCTGGTATTCTTATTCGATACTTTGTTGTATCCTGGATGATTTTTGCCAGTAACCATTAGCAACGTTGTGGGGCAAATAATTCCTTAAAGAAAGTGTTATCATACCTCAAAGTCTGATTTCATTTTGATCCTGTTCTGTTCTGTTTCATGTGAACATTTTTCCCAACATCCCTAATAAAAGACAACCCATGAATTTTGCATACTTCAAAATCTGATATTTTCAATATAGAATCACTATTTTAAACAACACTTTCAAATTGACAGTGCCATGAGCCATGACAAAGCCAAACTATGCATGTAGAGAAGCCACTTCAATGTTGCACCTAAAAAAGAGCCAATAATTTAATCTGACTAAGCCCAATCAAAGACTATGTTTATCTATAAGGACCAATAATTGAAACTGTCAACATCAAGATGCGATTGCGACAATTTTGATCACGCAGAGATAAGCATATTCTTTTTAAATAACATATATAACTATAGACATAACTGTATCGCATTAACATTTTGATAATGGCATCGTCCTGTTAAACAAAAAAATATGAATGATTGTGTCGCCCGCCAATGATGGATTGAAGTCTCCCACTTGTCATAATTATATGTAATAATTAAAACGTTCACTTGCTACCTGGAATCTTATCAGTTAAGCTCATCTTGAACATACCATTGTGTAATTGTAACAAAATGTGCCATATCCTTGTTGATGACTCAGTTACGAGGTAACTTTTATAAGAAATCCCCTTTGGAATAGAGGTTGGGCTTAACCTATCTCCCCTATGATTACTTAATTTTTTACTATATCAGAGGTTCGGACCTCGATAACTCGGTTCATGTTATGTTTAGGAATGAGAGAAAATGGGAAAGCGACAAATGAGGACAAATATAGTACAATATGAAAATATTGAATTAGTGAAAACAGAAAATTACATAATGTTATAAATGGAATTGCGATTAAAATTATTCGGGAGGTTAGAACTCCGGATTATTGAGTAGGGAAAAAAATGAAATGGAGGGAGAAAATTGTCAAGAAAAAATTTACAAAACTCAAGTTAAATTAAGCTCGAGAGACAAATGACACTTCTATCTAATCAGAGTTGCTCTCTAACAGATCCTCGATGGCTCCTTTCATGGCTCAAATTCGTCCTCTCTTTTTTTACCCTACCCACCTTACCATCCATACCTAACTTCATAATATCAAGATGTAATATGTTGATCATATAGCACCAAAAGAATCATTCATATGTATCTCTCTAAGCATATGTTATTAGTCAGCACCTCATTGCCATATCATGACCGAATCAATCACACTATTGGAAGGATACTGTATTTTCATTATATTTGCCGAATTCTTCCATGAGTTTATCATCTAACGATGATCATGGAAACACTCTAATTTACTACTGGAGAACCTGAATTCCAGATCCTCAATTCTTTATTTAAATATATTTCTTTGTTTCACATATTTTATTATTATCTATTATTTTGGTTTAGGGCATGCAAAGATGACATTCTGTACTTTTTGAAAGTCTGAGAGTCAATATGCGCTTCCTCCAAATTTTGGGGAGAAAAGAAATGTCCCTTTTTAATTCTTTGAAATTGTGGAAAAAAAATTCAAAAAAAAAGCTATGCAAAGATGATGTTCAATCTTCTTTTTGAACTATTTTTTCCTATATTGTCGAGTTAAAGATATAGATGAATGAGTATTCAAGTCTCCCCGAAATCAGCCAACAAGAAAATTGGTAGTAGACCCTTTGCATTGCGTGCATTTTTTTGCTTTACTTTGTCTTTTCAATTCATTCTTTATATATATAAATGGTGTTGGTCATATGACCACATCAAAAGGCCCATCAAAATGGTTGGCGAGCGTGCATGCGTGCATGCAAACTTATTGAATCAAATCGTTGGTGGGAATATCTTCAATGCATCCATGCAAAGGACGCATGATGTTATACAAAGAACAAGTAAGAGAATTAATGACTTAAGAAATATTCCTTTCAATGCGTTAATTAATGGCTTAAAACACAGTCTTAATGATAATATAACAATCGCAAAAACTCTAGTCCTAAACCTGACCAATTCACGATATTAACTTATTCAATCAATTTCGATCGCTGGTGATATGCGCTAATTTTCATCCTCTACAAGCTTCTTTTTTTAATTTTCTATAGGTCCAATTTATCACATTCATTGAAATCAAGCTAGACTATGTCATGAGAAGAAGCTAGTGGCCAAAAGTGAATTTGAAGAGACGATAGTACTAAGGACAGGTGGAGTGAAGATGTGAGGTACGGACAAAGGAACAATCTACATTTTGGCATTAATGGCGGTACAAAAACATCGGGGACAAACTCGTTTGGATGAGGAAAGGAGTGTCTGTGTCTAACGGAGTGGGGGAGGAGAAGAGGGAAAAAGTAACCGAGGGAAAGAGGGGGGGAGAGGAAGTTAATGTTTCCGCAAGTGGGACCCTCGGTACACGTGTTAATCTCTGAATGAAATACTTTTTTGCTGACATTGAGTATTAAACTCACCTAATATTTTCTTATCGCCCACAAAACAAGGGCAATCGTGTCATTAACAATACGAAAAATCATAAATTTATATATTTATGATAAATTTATTTTGAATTAATTTTTTTATTACTAAAAACCTCAAAATATAAAGTCTGAATCACCGCCAGTACTTCCAACTGTCTGCATGTTCCAATCCTCGGACTTTCCGCCTTTGGAAAGAATCAAATTTATCTTCCATTAAATTGGATTAATACCACAAAAAATCACTAATGGACGGGAAAACCTAGATTTGGTACACCCGTCAACTGCCATGTGTCATTCAACTCAGTAATTTGAAGGTAAAATTTAATGAAAACTAGCGAAGGGTAAAACTGTCACAAATGTATCAATTTGAAATTTTTTGTAATTTAAAAGTAGTTTAGAGTAAATTTCTCATAAATATATTAATTTAAGATTTTTTGTAATAGTAATCTTTATTTTTTTCAATTTTCTGAATTGCGTCATCTTCAAGGATAAGTTACCTATGTGGTGCGGTTGTCCCCACCCCACTTTTTATAGTATTGGTATCTAAGAACATGGATAAGGACAATTTTTTGCTTTAATCGATATGAATTTGATATTCTGACCCAAAAAAAAAAATGAAAAGGTAGTAAGTACCATTTTTGGGCACGGATCATCCCCCCTCAATCACGCCCTAAATATTTCAGGAAAAAAATTATTGCGTAATCTAGAAAAGTTTTCGAAGGTTGAATTCTCTTTGATCTGTTCACATGCAGTGTCACGAAAAATAAAGGTTTATCATGTTTTAAGTGTCTCGAATAATGATGATATCGAGTTGCTTGATTGGAGTTATTTTGAGCACTCGAATATACTCTCCCCGCCAATTTCGAAAAATTGAGAAAACATGTTAAATTAATGAAATCATTTTTTGGGTATGAGATTAATTTTTTTCTCTTAATAGGAGATTGAAAAAGAACATTGTGTTAGCCTGTCCGCGCTCCACCCGATACCATTTAGATATGTCTATTTTTTAAAGGAGAAATTATACTTTTCTTCCATATACTATCATGTATTTTTAATGAAGTCTTTGTCCTTTTAATTTTAATTTGGTAATAAAATCTTTCTAATATTTTTTCAAGTCCCTCCAACATCAAATCCATTTGAATTTAGCTGATATGACTGTTGAACGTTGTCAATGTATGACGCAAATAAAATATGTGAATTTCTACATGGACATGTCACGTGAATTTTGCTAAATGGCGTTGGCCTTAAATAAAAATTTGTGCAAATAAAAGAACTTGGTTAGATAAATCAAAAATATGCAGACTTAAAAAGTACAAAATAAATGGATAAAAGGTATACTCTTTTCTTTTTTAAAAATACCAAATGCACAGATTACTTTTACTTTTGGAGAGTACTATGCATCTTCGCCTTAGTTATCACTACACACATCCGCCAAAATATAAAAAATATCATTTCCAACCTAAGAAAAATGCATTGTTAAAAAAAAAAACCTAAGAAAAACGCAAAACATAATATCAAAATCGCGGCAAATTAGCAACGAATTTTATGTCGTGGCTTATTAGCGATGAACTACAAAATTATCGCGGCAAATTAGCGACGGATTTGAATTCGTCGCTAATTAGCTACAAAATTAGCGATGAACTATAAAATTGTCGCTGGAAAGTAGCGACGAATTTTATGTCTTGGCTAATTTGCGACGAAATTAGCGACGAGCTATAAATTTGTCGCGGCAAATTAGTGACGGATTTGAATTCGTCGCTAATTAGCGACGAACTATAAAATTGTCACGGCAAATTAGCGACGGATTTCAATTCGTCGGTAATTAGCGACGAACTATAAAATTGTCACAACAAATTAGCGACGAATTTTATGTCATGGCTAATTTGCGACGAACTATAAAATTATCGCGGCAAATTAGTCAAGGATTTAAATTCAGCACTAATTATCGACGAAATTAGCGACGGATTTTATGTCGTGGTTAATTAGAGACGAACTATAAAATTGTCGCGGCAAATTAGCGGCGGATTTGAATTCGTCGCTAATTATCGACGTAATTAGCGACGAACTATAAAATTGTCGCGGGAAATTAGCGACGAATTTTATGTCGTGGCTAATTTGCGATGAAATTAGCGACGAACTATAAATTTGTCGCGGCAAATTAGCGACGGATTTGAATACGTCGCTAATTAGCGACGAACTATAAAATTGTCGCGACAAATTAGCAACGGATTTGAATTCATCACTAATTAACGACGGAAATAGCAATGAAAATAAATCCATCGCTAATTTGCCGCGACAAATCTGTTCTTACGTACTACCCTGTCCAAGTGAAATAAAGCATGCGAGTTCATGCCGATGAAATGAGTATAATCCTCGGAATGCGTCAACTCAAAGAGGCTTTGAAATGCATTTCAAGGTTGGATGAGGCTACAATTAACATCTAATTTAATTTATTTATCTTTTTTTTTGGCGAGAGATAGATGGATAATCTCAAGCCAACATTACCTGTAAGTGCATCCATCACCTACTGGGCAACATATTGGCCTCACGAAAAAGAAAAAGAAGGCGTAGGAAAGATGCCTGGACTGAAAGTCGCTACAACGCAGATTTTCAGATCTGTAAACAAAAAAGGATTATCTTTGGTTTTTAAAGGGCTCAGCATCAAGAGTAAGATCCTTCAGATGCCAGGTTATACAAGAAGTGAAAAGGCATCTTACACAATTGCAGGAACAAAAATCTCGACACATATATTGAGTGCTTTGCCGAAAAGCAAGCTTCGGTCAACGAAAGGGCTCTACACCTTACACGTGCTTGTCTATATATTGCAATCGGTAATAGCAGCAAACAAACCACATTCACCATCAAAGCAATGGAGGGAAAATACGTGAGTAAGGAGATATAACAGCTTCCCGCGCATACTTTTTAGAATTGTTTGGATCGGGAACCCACCGTATCTCGCTTATGTTGGGAGTCTCGACATAAGTCATGGTAAATTCACCCACCTTCTCGATACTCCCTCTCTTCCCTGCTCTCAACAGAAGATGGTTCCTGTTGTAAGAGAAAATCCCGTTGGTCAAACGGATACTATCCCCAGGCTTGAACAGGTCACACTCCTCACCCCAGAACTGGAAATGTACAGCCGCGGTCTCATCAGCTACAAGTGCCAAGCATGTCTTGCTCTGGCCTTCCATGGCTACCTTACCTTTGTCCAAAAGAATGAATTGTGTGATTATGTTGTTTAGTGCAGCAGGTACTATATCTTTGATGGAGAGCATATCCATGTAACCTAAAATGAGAAGATACCAGATTTCAAAAAGTAATCATCAATACCAAATTAAACAAAGTCATTGAACTATGTGACCAAGAACTTATAAGGAAAAGTACACATGAAGGCAACCCCTAACAATATTCACTTTGGAAATGAACTCGTCCCATAAGCATGAACTAGCTAGTTTTATGCAATATAGATGAGTTTTGGATCTAGTAGAATACAACAACAAACAATTTCTCTCTAAATTTCCTTTTAACCTTTTTCATTCAGACTTCCGAAGACACTCATGCATTTTAAACAAACATTTTACAACTTAAGAGAATGAATTCTTCCACATTTTTTTTACTGAACTTCACTGAGTTCCTTTCATTCTTTCCTTTTGCACAAACGACTCCTAAATCCAGAGCACAAGCACCATTACTCCTGTAAATCTCCATTCGCGCACACATAACTTGAACAGCCATTATACTCTGCTTTAAACACACAAAGAGAATATGCCAAAACTCTAACTATCATAACTCGCTCGGTGATTACCCCGCACACACTCTAATTCAGAGAACGATGCACAAACAAATTATAAATCCACTCAAGACCTTTTGAAAGAATTATTGTGTCAGCAACTAAGTGTAGGTTCTGACACAAATCAAGCAGAAACAGTAGCGATGAGTAGGTCTTTCACCTCGTATTCAAGGCTAAACAAAACTCAGTTCGAAAATCAGTTGCATACTACTCCAATAAACTTTTGTTATACTATTGATACAGCTAATATTGCGACTCCTACCTTTCTTTAATCTGTCCGAGATATAATCTAACACAACAAAAGTAATTGTCTCCAAACAAAACAATGTTCGAGGAGAAAGCATAACGTTCAAGATTTGCATATATTGTGTGAAGGATAAACTTCATGCTGAATATAACAAATCAAGAATCAAGTCAAAAGCAGCGGCTATGTTTGAGGTTATAAAAACTGCCAGATTTGGTGTGGAAGAGCTACACCGTAGATTCTTTGAACTTTAAGCATTCAAGTTCGAGATATTTTGATGAAATCCAGCAGAAAATGACATCCATTGCAATGTCGCAGAAGATAATTAACAGAAAATCTGCCTCAAGGGGACAGCAAGTTGCCAGTAGATATGCATGTTCAGACAGGTGTGGAACACTGGAAGTGGACAGAAAGAAACAAGGAAATCGAAACTTATGAACCTGTGCTCAATGCAGATTACTAGTGGCAGAGAGACAATTAGTTGCCAAATTATTAGTTTTCCTCTTTCAATCATACATGGTACCTGTGATGAAGACATCTAGCAATCAGCAAAAATAATTAACATTCCAGAATCAACAAAAACCATCATTGCCCAATAATCGCTATATGCTATCAACAAAACTATGCAACGAAACCATCATCTACGCAACTGTTACTATGCAACGACAGATGACTAAACAAGGCCATTGCATCATTGTACAAACATGCCAGGTTGAATTAATAAAATAACACAGTAATGGGACTACTCTGCGGTTCAAAAATATGTTTGCGGAGTTAGGTAGATACAGACTGAAAAAAAGCCAAAGTACACACTGTTATTATATACTACTAAAAACAGAAAAACCCAAGAAACATTTCGTCAAACACCGAAACGAACGAAACAATCGAAGCCAAGAAGCCAACAAACGAACATCGTCAAACTCTCACCAGCAAAGAAAAGCGAAGGAGACGGGCAGGAGCAGGGCCTGGAAGCCGACGCCGGCGTTGAGGTTGTGGAAGGCGGCGTAGTGGGGCCGGAGACACTAGTTTTCGCCGGAATCGCCGAAATCTCCGCAAATGAATGAAGCCAACGATCGCTTTCCCCTCAGAATCTTGATCGCGAAACCGAGTCGGAGCCGATGGTGATTTTCCTCAGATCTCTTCAGATCCGAACTGCCTCGCTCCTCCTACGTTTTGGACAGGATGCACCCAAAATCATAAAGGCACCTAATGATCCTCTCTGTCGTAAAAAATGTAAGATGGAACAAAAGATAACAAGGTCGTTGCAGGATCATCACTTGACTCAGTAATTTTATCGAACAGTTGGCATGACACGCAAAATCGGCTGATGCAAAATGGGATGAAGATGCATACATAGAACACCTCGAAAGGAACAGTGAGTCAACGGATGGGTTCCCCATTCTTCGACAAACAAAAGCGAAAAAAGCCAACTTGGAGCTGATCTAATCAAGTTCCACTCCGAAAACAGAGTCAATCCAACACACCCAAGAACCATGCCGTTGAAGAAGCAGGAACACAAGCAGATTCAGAGCTCGCCGGGATTAACTGGAAGACAGCGATGCTCACCGGAAGAGAGAAATCGTCACTTGTGGGTAGGGCCGGGGGGCAGCGGGTCAGGAGGGTCAATCGTCGAGGAGCTTCCGGAGGCGAGACTTGACGAAGTCGCTGCGAGCTTTCGCGCGGGCTTGCTGAGAAGCGACGTTGGCGTAGGAGAGGTGGATGCCGGCCGCAATCAGGGAGGCGCCGGCGGCGAAGACGCCGGTCGTCGTCGCCAGTTGCCTCCGCGTCGCACTACACGATCGCCAGTTGCAGATCCGGAGCTCTTGTGGGATGGAAGAAGAAGGTAGGGTTTCGGGTGGGCTTGGGAGCAAGAAGAACAAATGGTTCTTGTTTCTTTCGGGTGGGCTTGTTTCGGGCGGGTTCGAGCAAATCCAAAACAAGCTTAGGCCTTATTTTTACTGGTCCGACCCGATTCAATACGAAAATTTCCTATTCGAATCGGATCGGATCGGGTCGGGTCGGGTCATGTTTGGGTAGGTTCTTTTGACACCCCTAGTGAAGCTAACCCAATGTCCAAGGGAGGCAGATATGGTAGCGGATTGAGTAGCCAAGGCACAAAGGAAAAATGAACTCCCACCCAATTGGCTGTCCTACCCCCCAAAGCCCATGTTGGATTTTCTACTGCTTGATGTAAACAAACTTTTGTAGTTTTAATGAAATTCGAAGTATTATCGACCAAAAAAAAAAAAAGAGTACACCGGCAGTGTAAAATACTTTTTAAACAAGTGGTAGTGAAATGAAAACTCTCATATAGTAATGGAATGAAAATTTATTACAATTGAAAACGGCATACGTGTTGGCGCATGAATTCGATTTGTGTAATCATTTTTTTACACCGTCAGTGTATAAAACAAAAGTCAAAAAACACATTAACTAATCATGGTGTTTAGGACTTTAAATATCTCACTTTTTTTCTGGATAAACATAGACTATAATTGGCAACAACTGGATATATCGATTAATTGTTTCATCTCATTAGCAATTGTATTATATACTAATTAAGCAAGTTGAGTTAATGGAATTTTCTTTTAGCTGACAATCTGCGGAAAAACTCTCTTTTTTTTTGCAGATGGTGCTAATTACGAAATTCTCTATCCGAAACCAATTTATGAATCTATTATACGTATAAACCCCAGAAGATTATCAACGATATACATTCCTTGGAATGACATTTCTTGCGAAAGACATTTTTACTGTATTCTCTGTACTATAATACTAAGGGTTAATACCACGAAAAACTCTAAACTGGTACGCATACGATAAATTTATCCCAAACTAATTTTTTGACCATAAAAAACCCTAAACTGATACATCCGTGACAAATTTACCCCAAACCGGTACACCCGTAATAAATTTACCCCAAACTAATTTTTTGACCATTAAAAACCCCAAACTGGTACACTTGCTACAAATTTACCCTCCATTAAATTGAATTAATATCTCGAAAAATCACAAATTAGTAAACATGTAACAAACGGACAGATAAAACTTCAAATTGGTATACCCGTCAACTGCCACGTGTCATCCAATTCAATAATTTAATGATAAAATTTAACAAAAACTAACGGAGGGTAAATTTATCACAGGTGTACCAGCTTGCAATTTTTTGTAGTCAAAAAATTAGTTTGGGATAAATTTATTGCATGCGTACCAATTTGGGGTTTTTCGTGATATTAACCCTAATACTAAATAAAGCAAGCTCTTTAATTTGGTGTACGCCAAAAAAAACGATAATAACAACCTGGCAAAAAGACTAATCGATCACTTATCCTCTCAACAACCACCTATGTTTATCTCGCTTTATTAACTGAAGTTAACGAAAACATTTTCTCCGAAATATCAAGAACAACCGCAATGGACAATCACAAACTAGTTGATGTGTGGAGTAGCATCTTTATGTTGACACATCTTATGGCAAATTCAGCAACATGCTTAGCTCCAAATGCATTGATAGCTAGTGCAATGTCGTAGCTACGGAGAAAAATTGAGATTAAACAACCAAATTTCAATCGAAGTCGGTCTCATTGGAAAGATGAGACGAAATATTAGATACACTGGTTCAATCTTGACCTAACGAAAGGTCCAAAATCATCGGTAATATCCGTCACAAACGATGTAGCGCGGTACTGTTCACCACCCCGCACCTCCAACGGAAAAAATTACTAATCATAATTCCAAATCGAGCACCGTAAATTGCTACGGATCGTTAATGAACCAAGAATCTAAAATGAAATATCAGACTAATTGAAACAGGTCTACAGATTGCCAGTAATTACGATTTTGCCCCCTGGTCAGTCAGTACCTCATCTGGAGCAACAATATCTCATTTGCTTGGCATTTCCACTTCAATTAGGTGGAGTATTAGAGATTGAGCCTAGCTTAAACACAAGAGATTTCACTTGCTAACCACAGAATTAATCAAGTAATCATGTTTTTGAAATTTATTTGCGTACCTCTTTTAGTGTTGGTTTTTGGGCACCAAATTACCTTTGGAAGTCCTCTCCTTTGACTTCATGGCGTGTAGCTTCTTGCGGTTGGTGTTTTCTAGACCACGTCAGTAATAAGCTTCGAAGGCATTGGTTTCTTCTGATTACCATACACTTTGGTTTGGAAGATGTTCAGGAAGGCTTTGCGTACGGCGTGGTCGACGACAGGCGCGGCGGTAGCCATAGAGGTCCAGAGGAGGATGGCACCACAGCAGCAATGGTGGGAAAATTATAGTGGTAGTAGGGTCGATAGCTTTTCAGTAGGGAGGGGAACATCATTTCCAGCAGTAACATCGGAAGAGACCAAAATTTATCCTTGAGATTGTCGTCAAATTTCAAGAATTGCATTATGAAAATGTAGTAAATGAGAATGTCTGAAGTCTGCAAATGTTTGTTGCGGCTATCCTCTAGGATTCAACAGACCTTCTAAATAACGTGCACCACACTGTTTAGATAGAGCAAGAACATTATGAAATGCAAAAGCATCAGAGGGCAAAAGCAAAGAATACTTTGTGTGTGAAGGTTTTTGTGTGAAAGTTTGTGGGTGCACTGATTTGGGCATATCAAACAAAAAAAGTGGTCGACATATATAGAAGAGAGACTGAACAAAGCAAAGGCCAGCACATTAAATAAGCAAACGGCCAGTTAGAAAGTCAACAATAGTCACAGTTCACATGCATTTTTTATTTATATTGTAAATATACTTTTTGAAGAACACTTTATGCAGCGTGGCTGAGTTAAAAGGAAATAAGTAGAATGATATGTCTTTCTGCGAGGTCATTTCTTCGGCGAAAGGAGCGAATGGATGCCAATGACCATGCCATAAAAATGAAAACTTCCCATAGGCAACAAGATGCTTTATATATGAAGAGTCCAGCATTAGGTAGAACAGGTAGAGTCCAGAAGGATTTATCTTTGAATTTGTCACAATCTAGCCATAAACCCCAAATAGAAACAACATGACACGGATCAACCGAATACAGTGCATAACATAAGCTGTATTCCATCATATAATCCTCTTGAGACCAAGTATCTTAATAGGAATCCCAGAAGAAAATGGCTCTGTTTTAGTTGGTTAATCCTTAAACCAGACATGGCTTTGGGAATTCGCAACAAAAAGGTCTGAAACTTCAAACTGCCTTCAGAGCAGCTGTTCTACAATCTCAATAGGACCTCGGTAGGCATCACCAACAACTAAGATGAGATAAAGTCATCTTGTCGCAAACCCTCTTTATTTTATACGAAGGGGCATTGGTGTGGAGATCCAGTACCTAGAGGCTCATGAAATACTCTGCAAGCTTCATCGGTTAAGTTCAGACCTTTGGCCGGTACAAATTGCTCTAATCCAAATCAGTTTGCACACAATTGATAGGATTTGAAGGGATGACCTCTCGTTCCTAAGGCAGAAATCATTCAGTGCCCCAACCAATCATGCCTACCCTAGTGTTCCCATTGTCTAAGAAAATTACTAGCTAACTCACTATTCATACTAACCGGCAATATAAATGTTAGTGGTACATCTTTCAATTGAAGCAAGGGATTGAGGAGGAGCTCCAATGGCATAAAAAATTATCAAGAATGAGCTCCCAATTATTGATAAAATTGATATCTGACATGAAAGGAAAACTAACAGCGCATGCACGTTAACTTGTGTGGGGTCCATTTCCTCGTAATTGAATAGTACTAGATAATCAATGCATTACATCAAATGTTGCATGCCCAAACTCCTATAATTTAGAGCATTGCTCGCTTAAGCTTGAAGCCACTGCTGATTTCTGGCAAATGAATTCTTTGAAAATAGTCCTCTCAGTCGACATACTTTGGATCAAAGTGGAACACACTTTCCTAATCTACTCCATTCTCTACGGCCGTGGCTTTTAAAGCTTTTGTATTTGTATCATCAAAACTGGGTCGGTTCTGAAAAGGGAAAGAGAAAACAAAAAGGAGATTTCATTAACGACTAAAATTCTAAGTGGATTTATTAGGAGTCTATCATAAAACTGAGGCTTATGTGCCTTGAATAATGTGTATGATCTATAGATTTCTGCCACTCACATTGCGTTGTTGATATTCCTTTTCAGGTCAGCGTGCAAGCTTTGGAAACTATTCTGATCCTAAAAGAAATAATAAAAAATGTTAACAAACTCCTTCATATCGAAAGACTTGTGATGCGAACATCAGATCTTTCACTATGACTATGTTTTTTGCACTTTTGGCTTTTCAAGTTGCGACTCTTATCAAAGTAAAGAATGCGTTTTGCAGACAAACATCTTATTTCAAAAGCGAAACTGCGACAGTAAACTGTGACATGGGGAGAGAAACTCTACCAGATTTATGTAGATAAAAGCACAACCTTCTCTAACTATCATAACTCCCTCAGTGATTACCCCGCACACACTCTAATTCAGAGAACGATGCACAAACAAATTATAAATCCACTCAAGACCTCTTTCAGTTTCCTCCATTACTAGCAAACAAGAAACTCAATTCCATTGACATGTTTCAATGGCTCACTCAGTCATACAATACAACTCATGGCAGATTTTACTTGCTTTATATATTGACCCATATACGGCAAAGAAGATAACAAAGTAAACCAGAATTGAAGACGAAATGAATACATAAAATCAGACTAGAACAAGGTAAACATGATGTATGGAAGTCTCGGTCATTGATCTAGATCATAGAAATCAGACATGGAACGGATGAGACGAACGTATATATCATGATTTGAGCAAGCAACAAGCATCCAGACATCCTGGTGCAGGAACACTCATCAAAACTGCACACCGCTTCGCTCAGGAATATTAACAAATACATAATAGGCATTTCAGCCAAAAGATCA